ATAAAAAAAAAACACTCCCTCCCCTCAGGCAGCTGGGGCGGGGAACCCAGGCGCCCCGCCCCGAGCTGGGGGAGCCCGGGCGTCCAGTTGGATGGAGCCGGAAGCAGCCCGCGGTGTCTTCCCAGCCGTGCCCCAGGGCTCCCTGGTGGCGGCTGGGCCGCTGTCCGCCTCCGGGCACCCTCGGGCCCCGTCGGGAGGAGCGCGGCCAGGCGGGCCTGGACCAGGGCCCTCCACAGCAAGCGGCACCTGCTCCCCGGGAGGAGCCGCCTCCGTGGGCCTGGTGCCCGCGACACGCCGCCCCGTCCCGCCCCGGCGAGTGCCACACGGCGGCCCCGCTCCACCTCGGGCGCGAGGCCGGGCCGGGCCTGCAGCTGGTGGGGAGGCTGGGCGTCTCTTCCTGCCTCCGAGGAGGCCCTTGGTCACAGCTCCCCCACGTAATTATTTATTGGCATTTGCAAGAAATTGCAGGAAAATGTGGTTCTTGAAAAAGACACCGTGTTGCCTGATTTCTTGACAAAAACCGTTAGGAACAAGTGCAGGTTTAAATCCCAATTTCCATGAAAGTTTTCCAGTGCTTCCATCTGGGTGTGGAACCAAAGTGGGTCAAAAATGATGGTTTTGAAGAACATGTTCAGAAAAAATAAACTTGTTTTAGTTAAATTTATGAGCATTTGGAAAACTGTTTCTGGGGAAGAGGATATTGGAGCCCTGGCCTCATAGTTATGACTTGTAGAAGGGTATTTTGTGCCCCAAAGCTTGTTGAACACCTCTTAATTATACAGGTGGTGCAAAAAAAGAAATCACCAAAACCCCCTTTCCTCTTGTCATATTTCCTGGACTATCAGTCATGACTCCAACAACACTTCAATCCTATATGATTTTAAAAAGAAAATAAAGGAACATTTTATAAGAAATGTTCAAGTGCCACTAATTTTTTTTCTGAAAGTTTTATCAAGTTTCTGGTAAAATATCACAGAAGAAAAGAAAAATTCTGCAGTTCTGAAAAGCCATTTTTGCAAACATTTTGTTTTGAATATATGGATATCTATATATATCTATAGAGATATCTATATAGACGGATAGATATAGATATCTCTATAGATATAGATATATCCCCAAAGCCATTTTTTATTTAAAAAATTTATTTCCATTTAAGTGTCTTGGTTTTGAAATCTGTTTTCATTTACAATAGCTTTAACACCTTTGGTTTTCAAACAATTAATTCTTGTTAAAACTGTATGAGATTCCCTTCATTGTGGCTGTCAAAATCATCCTCTGTAGAAGTCTGGGTTTTCATACAGTGATTCCTGTACCCACTTTTGGTTTCCCCTAGAGAAGGTCAGTTTGGGAAAATGCAAAACTACTTCAAAAATCTGTGCCCAGAAGCTGGTCCTACCAGCCTTTGCACCCATCTTGAAGATGTGATCAGACACATCCTGCTTCTCACATATTCCCTGCACCCTCACAGTGCTGTGGCCCTGCCAAAAACTGAACATTTTTTCAAAATTCTTGTTAACAGAATGCCTAAAAATAAAACCCGTTGGTTGTTTTTCTCAAAAGCCATTAGGGTGAGAAATGGGCAAGATATGCATGTTAGGGGCACTGGCAGCCAGATAGAAACCAACCTGTGACCCTAGGCCAGCAGTGAAGTCCTATCTTTAGCTTCCTTTCCCTTGCAACTAGGGCCAGAGGTTCAATCACCATGCTGGAAGCCAAGACACCTCACTCCACACAGACAACAAAACAACTAAAAAATGTGTTTTAATAATAATTAAAAAAAGAGAGAAAGAAAGAGAGAATGGATTTTGCACTGTAAATAGATGTTGGGGGGGGGAACGGTCCACTCCCCAGGCTTTGTCTGTGAAGGGCTGTTGCACATGTGCCCCATTTTGTCTTGGTACCTCCTGCACTTGGAAAAGGGGGCTCTTTGCGATGGCCCTGTGGCCCTTCCAATACATTGAGTGCCACTAGCGTCTTCCCTCCAAAATGCTGTACAGATGGAACAAGTTCAAAAACCTCCATGTCCCAGCAAGCAATGAAGACTAGGGCTGCAGTGTCCCCCTGTCCTGGGTGTTACAGGTCCAGTGCTGGAACTGGCTGCTGTCTGAGGTGGGATGCTGAAATGGATAGGCCTGTGGGGCTGAGGGGGGCCAGGATACCAGTGTAGATGGGCCTATGGGGCTGATTGGGGAAAGGGAGGGGGCAGGATGCTGGGATAGATGGACCAGGCATAGTGCCCCTGTGAGCTTGTTCCTAGAGAATGAATCCCTCCACCTGGGGGGAAACTCTGCCTGAGCTGACTGGTCCAAAACCCCTCTTGCCATTGTATGATGTGGGATAGGAGACTGAATTCTGTGACCTGGAGGGAAAGGCCCCTACCCCTCCCCATGCCCCACCACCAGGCCATGCCCTGCCCTGGAGCTGGATTGGGGCTATTGCCCCCTGGAGAGGGAGGGCCCTTGCCTTGGTCCCAGAGCTAATCTCTCCCCTTTGTCTCCTTGAACACAGGGTGAGTTTGCCAGGTTCAGGTCACCTTTTCCTTTCACAGTTGGACCCCTCTGGCTCGGAGCAGCCAGTGCTTCCAGTGGTGGCAGGTAGCAGTGCCCATGGTCATGGCAGGGTGCACCCCTCTCAGGCAACAGTGCTGTGTTGTGGCCCAAGCCTGCAGTGTGATTAGTTGCCAGGAACGCCTATGTACCCATACGAATGGGCACAACAACACTAGGTGGCTAAGGGGTAGGGGACTGCTGGGCAAGGGGGTGTCTCACTGGTCCCCACTGAGTGGGGCTGGCAGCCTGGGCCTAGGTTGTCTCCATGTCCACATCACAGCAAGTCACCATGACAACCTCAGGGCCTAGATGCCAAGGTGTCTCCATGCCTGCATCATGGAAGAGACACTGCCAGCTTGGTACCACAGCAAGCCCTGGGCATGGCCAGCCTAGATGCCCCAGTGGATCCACATGCCTCATCTGGATCTGGGTGCTTCCAGCTTGTTGCCAGTCCAGGTCTCTGCATGTTGGTCAGGTCCTGGGTGCTGCCAAGGCGGTGCTGGTTGCCCCTTCGGGGCAAGGATGCTGTGGTCAGGGTGTGGGTGGCTGCCGGAGGTGCTTACGCCGGATGTGGCGCTGCAGTGTGTTGCGCTCACCAAAGCGCATGTGGCAGTCATCACACTGGTAAGGGCGCTCACCTGTATGCACACGCTGGTGATGTGCCAGCTCACCCGAGTCGCGGAAGCTGCGCTGGCAGATGGGGCACTGGTGGGGCTTGCGGGCAGCATGCGTGTACTTGTGGCGTTCCAGGTGCGAGGTGCGCTTGAAGGCCTTGCCGCAGGCCCGGCACACGTGGGGCTTGTGCTCCGAGTGGGTGATGCTGTGGCGCTGCAGGTAGGACAAGTATTCGAACGTCCGAGAGCACACAGGGCAGCAGTATACCTTGCGCAGAGCTGCCCGCTCCCCAGCACCTGTCCCAGTGCCTGCCCCACCGGCCTCTTCCACCAGCACTGTGTAGGGCAGCCCCTGGCTGTCGATCAATAGGTACCGCCCATAGCGTGATGGCTCCCCCTGTGGGGTGCCCGGCTCAGTGGGGCCCTCAGGCCAGCAATGCCCATTGTGACCAGGCAACAGAGCTGGGGAGGTGCCGGGGGGGCTGCGCAGCCGGCACTCAGCCCCCTCCTCCCTGTCCTCATCCAATTTGGCCCTACGCCTTGGCGGCTCATCCAGCCTGGTGGGCCGTGGGGGGCCTGGCTCAGTGCCTCCAGCCTTAGGGCGCCGTGAGGGCTCACTCCGGGGTCCAAAGGTATGCAGCTCCATTAGGTGGGAGTGCCCCCTATAGGCAAGGCCCACTCACAGTGCCTGGAAGGACAAGGAGGCAGGTGGAGAGGGCAATATTAGACCCCCATGTCCTACCCAGCATGGGGACAGCACTGGGGCAGGGGGCCTAGGCTTTGCACCCCAAATGTCTCTGCACCTTTAGCAGGGGAGAAAGAGAACCAACCTAAGGGGCACTGATTCTGATCTGGTCCCATGGGCACTGGCTGGCTCAGGGGGTGAGAATGGGGCAGGGGCCTTTCCCCTCCAACAGTGCTGGCCCTGATGTGACCCTGCAAGGCACTGGCTGGCTCAGGAGGTGGGGTTGGGCCTGTGCACAGGTGGACACCCCCAATTCTCCCTGATCCCTCCTCTCCCTTGGGTACCCAGGCACAGATGGGCATCCCCAGCCTCCCGCCCCATGGCCCAGGAGATAGTTACCCTCCCAGATGTCTGTGGCTGGGGTTCCGTCTCCATACTCATTTCGGTTCTGAGGCACAGGCAGGGCCCCCAATGCCTGGCATGCTCTCCTTGCTAGATGGATGGTCAGGTCCAATGCAGGGCTGGTTCTGAGAATTGGAGCCCAGGGCTGGTTCTGGAGGATCTGCTGTGGTGTTGGATGCAGAAGCTCCACGCTGAGGCAGGCTCCAGGGGCTCCACTCCAGGACTGGGGCTGACACTGCCGTACAACACCCAATCTGGCACCTCCACTCCACGCTGGTGCCAGCTTCTCCAATCCAGGGCTGGTAGCAGCTGCT